ATTAACTACAGTCATGTGCCATTTAATGATGTTTCAGTCAACGATGACTGCACATGTGATGCTAGCCTCATAAGATTGAAATACCATACTTTTATTGTACTTCTTCTATGTTTAGAACATGAATACTTACCTTTGTGTTACAATTGGTATAGTACCACGCTGTGAACAGGTCTGCAGCTTGGGAACCCAGGTCCTGTCCCATCTAAGTTTGTGTACATACCCCCTGATGCTGGCATACTCCTGTTGCTAATAGGCATTGTTATGCTCTGCTACAGAAAACAAGCCGCTGCTATACACACACATGTTGCTACAGACACAGCATTTTTCCTTTTCCCCAGCCAGTGCACTCACTGGCTTAAACTACAAGAAGAAACAAAGAAGTTCAGAAAAGAACTCACCTGGTATCTTCCAGCATCACCTGACCAGATTTTTCATCGACTACAATTTTACAATGATCTCCAGAGACCAGTTTATTGCTGGGGAATGAAAGGTCACAACCTAAAACAGAAAGGGAAGGAGGATGCTGGATATGACCACAAGGCCATGAACTCTAGTGCCCTCTGCTTTATAAAAACATGTGAATTGAAGTTAGGATCCCCACGGTATACCTTTAAGGAAGCATCATTTCATCAACAAAGGCATGAAGAATTTTAAAAGTATCTAAGAGTTAACCCACAGTAAAGGAGCATGGACTGTGTCCTGAACTTTTGTAAATGCCCATTGCCTCAAAGATGGCTCATCAACATCTCTAGCTACACAAAAACTGTCTCTTCTTAACAACTTTACAATATGCACAAATGTACTGTTAGTGTGATAAATATTAGAACTTTAAAAAAAATAAGGGACTTAAGTAAATCTTTAGTACCCTAACTTAGTCCTAATTTTTTCTTTGGGTAATCTTAGAGTTTCATAAGTCATCAAAAAATTGAGGCAACAATGGTCACAGAAAATGTGACTGAATTAATTCTCATAGGCATGTGTACATGTATAAGAAAACATAGGCCAAGTGCAGTCGCTCACACATGTAATCCTAGCACTCTGGGAGGTCTAGGAGGGTAGAATGCCTAAGAAAAGAAGAAAAACTGTCCAGGCACATACCTGTAGTTCCAGCGACTCAAGAGGCTGAGGCAGCAGTATAGCTTGAAACCTGGACTCTGAGGTTGCTGTGAACTATGACGTCATAGTACTCTACCCAGGGCAAGGGAGTGAGACTGTGTCTCAAAAAAAAAAAAAAAAAAAAAAGCTCAACCATAGGACAGCAGCCACACAGTGGCATGGCATCCTGCCCTAGAGGCTGAGGCAGCAGTATAGCTTGAAACCTGGACTCTGAGGTTGCTGTGAACTATGACGTCATAGTACTCTACCCTGGGCAAGGGAGTGAGACTGTGTCTCAAAAAAAAAAAGTAAATAGTATATAAAAAATGTATCAATAGGCTTGCCGCCTGTGGCTCAATCGCTTGAGCCTAGGAGTTGGAGGTTGCTGTGAGCTATGATGTCCATCACTCTATCCAGCGCGACAGCTTGAGGATCTGTCTCAA